CCTAACATAGCCTAACCTAACCTAGCCTAGCCTAGCCTAGCCTAGCCTAGCCTAGCCTAGCCTAGCTAGCCTAGCCTAGCCTAGCCTAGCCTAGCCTAGCCTAGCCTAGCCTAGCCTAGCCTAGCCTAGCCTAGCCTACGCTACCCTAACCTAACCTAACTTAACCTAACCTAACCTAACCTTACCTCCCCCACCCTATCCCCTTCAACCTAGTGTCCCATTGCCATCCATGTTCCATGCCATATATACGTACCGTATTAAGAAGTTTTGTTTAGCCGCCATATTCTCATTTTCCTTTTCCTTCCCCACCCAAAGACATCATATTTGCCCACCATGTCGACCCATCTGCAAACAGTACGGAAGGCTGCTTGGATACGCAAGAAAAATATTTCATTGGATTCTTGTTACCTTGGCCCCGCACATTTTTATGGTTCTTGATGCGCAGCAATGTTGTGATCGCGCGTAGTAATGGCGTCGGGGTCGCGGTTCTTGCGTTTTGTGTCGTTCGGACGTTCGCTACCGTAGCTATTTAAGTTCCAAGGTAAGAGTTTAGATGACCTGTTTTACGATTAATTACGATATGTTCTGCCTTAAAAAGAACGATTGATGTACAATGCTCCTATTAACATGAGGTAGCCATGTATACCCTGACCAGCCAAACACCCCCCCCCCCCTCCCTTACCTTCTTTCATGGGCATAAGCACTTCAGGTCAGCCGTTATCTGTACAAGATCTCAGCCAATAAAAGCCCCATCAGGGGTGATCTGATGATCAAGGTATTTCAAGGTTGTTTGAAAACATTACTCTCCTGTTATCTTCTCTGAAAAAGACGGCATCAACTGGAACAAGATTAAGTCCTACGCCACAAAGTCCCTCCAGAACCGTGTGTCAAGTCTAGTAATGTTGCTCATCGCTTGGGATCACGAGCAGGATGTCTGCTAGACACACGTGAACACGCTCCAGGCCCCCTAGGACCATTCGCATGAATAGGCTTAAAAGTGCATGCATCCCATAGACATCCGCCGAGGGTAAACGTTTTTCGGTGCGGAAAACGCGCAAATTTTGCTCGATTTCTCCGGAAGTTGTGGATTCCAAAACGCATGCTCATTGTCAAGTGTTGAAGCAAAGGAACGGAAACGCATCCAATTACAGGGAAAACAGCCTGCTTTTGAACGAGGGGCTTATTCAACGTTCTTATGTCCGCCATAATCCAAGACTCATAAGACACAATAATCTGGATCAAAATGATAAAAATGTTCCAATCGCAGGGTTCCCCCCTTCGAGGACACCACACACCTGTAGGTCATCAAGCTGCGACCTCCATCGGTCTTCACGGGCCCTTAGAATTGGGTGTGGCCGCATGAACTGAGGCTATGTTCCGTCCCGCAGCTCCAAGGTAACATCGCCACCTGTTACACTCGCCTATGCCTGCATAGCGGCATGGTTGAAAAACCTCCGGGAACAAACTGATCAACGTCGCCAAATTATCTCACTGCTAGCCAGTGGTGGGGTAGCCAACCACAATCCCTGAAAACACCTCATCAGTGGTTTTTCCAGCATACCGGCCGTCGTCACTCCGCAGCAAACACCACGTTCAGTTTTGATGTGACGTCACCGACGGTTCCCCAGCAGGTTCGAGCTGGCGCGTCCCAACATGGTCAATCGGCTCTGCATAGCCAATTATACCCTGCCTATGCGTGGCGATCAGGCGATCCGATCGGTGGCGGCTGGACAATGAGATCTCTCTGCTGGTTGACGGTGTGTCATCAGCGAGTCGCACATTTCAACGTTGCTTGAGCGTTGTCACACGAACAAGTAGCCTCACACGACAGGGCTTGGCTGACCTTAACCGCTAAGCACACAGCTGACTGCTAAGGAACAGATACCGTCTTCTTTCAATTTTGGAGTCCCAATCGGTGCCAAGGTCCCTTTCAGTGGCATTTGAGGACCGTGCCCAGGGCCGGATTCCTGAAAGGGAGTATCTCACCTCTTTGCACTTTTTACATATTGCTACATCACATGCGTACGATTTGATCACTGATACCAGTTTCCTCGAAATCCTTCTCACTAGCTCGAAATTTGTTTTTGAAGAAGCTGACTCTGCGGGATAAGTCTTATTTGATTCCGTGCCCACCATTATGACTGTAATACCTTTCATTTGACTTGCTTTTCCAACGCATATGTTCTTTGATATTTGCGACACACTAATGTGTCAACATATCTGGGAAATAAATGCTACGAAAGCTTGTAACATTGCTTAGACAAAGCCTTATGCGACCATGATGCTATTACCCCGCAAATTCAACAAAATGCTATACTATGTCTTTGATCTGTTCGCTAAAGCACCAACCACAGCGGCTCTCTTCCAGGCGTACTTTGGCTGTAGGGATGGGAGCATTTAATGATCCATGGGACCCACTGGTTCAAACTTCATCCAACCAACTTCCCGGTAACAGGCCCTTGCACGCTCGGCCAATCACAAACGTTAATTTGTTCGCGCCGGTAGACGTGCGCACGGTGGTTGTCATGACGGCAGTGATTGAGGGAAGGAAGAGACACAATACACTTACAAAACGTCGACAGCGTGATTTGACCTCGCAAATAGTTCAGATTGATATATTTTTGTATCGACGGTGCTGCAGTAGCGCTAACTCGTGCCTTTACAAGACATAATAGTGCTGGGGTTTGCTAAAATATTTTTTGAAATATACCCCCAAAGGTGAGACACTTCTTCCCCTCCGGTATCCTCCGGCCTCCGACCAGCCGTTCGGGTCCTTTGGGCTCTCAAATCGGGACCTTAATAGGAGAACTGTGCCCCCTCTGACTCTCCTCGGCCTGGACACTGCTGTGATGTAGCTAGGATGCAGCAATGAATAAAACACACCCCATCGAGGTCCCAGGAAAGGATGATTAATCTTAAGCGATGGTTCATGCCTCTGCAAGTTGTGTGTTGTGGGTAGGATTATCCAAAAGTTTGAAGCATAGGGATCGCCGTGAGCATATTACACCTCCGGTCTCAAGTGTTTTCCTTAGAACACAAGTGCGGACAGGCCGGCTTTTTATGGACATTTCCACATGAGTCACGTTCGAGTGCATTCGAATGTTTACATTATGTTCACTGTTCTCGCTGTGCACAAAAACGTCCCAGCAATCGACGCACTCGAAAGCTCTTGCAGCACCAGAGTGAATCATATTCAGCTGTAAAAACAGGCACACGTTAGCTATTGTCACAACTATAAAGTCTGAGTAACTCTCACCTCCAGCCACATCGCGCTTCTCCACCGGCAACGAAGAGTCCGCCTCCAGATCGCCATGCTGCTGCAGCTGCTAGTCCTGACCCTGCTGGCCTCTTCGTTCGGTGAGCACACACCAGTCGCTGCTTAAACCGCAGCTGTCTTAAGTCGCTGCCTGAACCCATCGCTAACTGCAAATTTATGTAGTCTAGTTGATCCCAAAATAGCTATCCGATACATCCCACCTGGTCAGTGTGATAAAGAGTGTGTGTGTGTTGTAGCATCGGCTAGTGCTTTACCCTAGTGTCTGTATTAGAATGCTGGACGCCTTTAATCAAACTGTACATTCGGCATACGTGCAGCGGGAGTACGAGGCTGGGTTATTGCGTCCGGGCAATTGTTTTGTCCAGAAACTCTTGACCGTACCGGTATTGTTGTAAAATAGAGGCAAAACGTAATGCGCTGGCATAACTGACATGGTGAGTTGGAGAAGAATAAATAAGAAAACCTGCCTTGTGCTGCTTGTGCGCCTCTCCACAGACCGTGAGGATGTCTGCGTAAGTGATCCGTCTGCACGACCCCCATGATCAGCCGACTGGACGCTCTAATGCGCTTGACAAATCCTGTAATTGTCTGAGATGTCATCATTGACCCGCTGATGAGCTCTTGCGATCGTCTGAGTGTCCCTTACTGCCCCATGCATCATTACACTGTCCAGCCTTTCCGGTCGAATGAGTCATTGTCACTTCCCGAACCAAATCCGGCAAAAGCATGATAATACTGTCAAACAATCATGTGAAAATGTGATAATTCTGTGATGGAGAACCTTTTCAGAGATACTTGACGTCATCGGATATGTAGCAGCAGTGAGCATTCAACAAACTGTGAATTGTGGAGGATATTGGGCCTGTGCGATATCGTAGCTTTGCGGCAGTGGTAATATATTCAATAATACATTAACGGGGTTAGAGATAGCATGTCTATTTCAACGTCTCCACTTTCTCTGCCACTCCGCTCCCCCCATGCCAAGGTAAAAGGACAGATCAAAGGGCAATAGGATAGAACACACGGTAATAGGATAGATCGCACGGTAAATTTTACGGGACTGTCTGTTTGTAGGATCTGTCCTGGAGAACACAAATGCCGGTAAATCGATATTTTCACTGGAAGGAGGGAATCTCAGGTTGTACTGGGGGCAGAATTTGGCGGACACTGGTGGGATTTATTCCACCGCACCCCCAGCAAGTATTTTAAACTAGAACATGGTTTTGAGTGGCTGTTACTGCTCTCCCACCAGCCTTTGCGGTCGTCTAAATGACTGTCATTGCCTCTGCCAACAGGCCTGTGGTCGTCACCCACTGGTTACCACTGTCCCTCAGTCCCATCAGGTGCCGTCATTGTCGTCTAATGTCATCTCGTCGTGCCACCAGAGCCAGCCAGTGGCCATGCCATCATAACGCCCCTGCCAGTCACGGCCCCGCCATGCCCGGAACCTGCGGGGCCCACTGGTTATGCTCCTCCTCCAGGTAAAGGCGAGCAAAAGTCGAGCACTCGCACCATGCGAGCATCCTGATACATAACTAAGGATCCGCTAGCATCCGTAGGTGGGGCCGATGGCTCCGTTGACAGTCTCTGCACCCACCGAACTCTGGTCGGCTAGTTCACTATTTCCGGTGCTCGGAGCGCCCAAGTCCAAATTTTTGCATGCGCCAACAGGCCACGCCATCAACTGCACACGGCTGCCGACGACAAAAGCACGCACACGGCACTGGGAGTCATGCTGCCACCTGGTCTTTCGCCAGAGACATTATCCCAACGGTTCCTGGCTTGATTGATAAGCACCTTTTCCCACATTATTTAAGCCGAAGGTGTGATCCTTTGGAGCGATTACAAGGCAGCGGTTTCCATTTTGACATCCTAACAAGTATTTGCAAACCATTTGCGTAATAATGCATGCTGCCCACTGAACCACGTTTTGCAGCACGATAAAAGTAAGAGTGCTCCTCCAGGTGTATCCGAATGTTTCCGAAGCTGCTGGTGTGACGTCCCAAGGCTGTGTCAAAGATTGATATCATCTATTGTTATGTCATGTTACGTTGTGTCATGCCGTATCAAGATTCACCGCAATATGGCGAGGTTATTCTGTCATTAATACTTCGTCCATTTTTTCAACTCCGCCAGCTGGTGGCTCCTCCAGCTCTTCCAGTTCCGACTGATCTTCATAGCCGGATTTGGCTTTGAACGTCTCAGAAGTCTGCCTGTGACACCCACCGGGGCTGCTTGTGACTTCCAGTGGCCGGGTCAGCACAACCTAAGGCGTGATCGACACGGAGATCCCACGTCACGGAAATGTTATGGATTGTCTGGTGAACACGTGCTGGACAACAGGTGTTTTCTGGAAGCCTTCACTTCCTAAACTTTTTTGGGTTTGCGGTACGCTCTCCATATAAGTGTGTGCTGTTGGAAAACATTTGGACGAATCTTGTTTAACCTGGAGTGAACACGTGGAGGGAAACCGAGATTTTTTCGGGAAACTTTACCTTCCGAAAACATTTTTTCTGGGTTAAGTGTGTGTTGTCCATACAAAGGTATGCTGTTGGAAAACACTTAGATGAATCTTGTTGATCGACCATGAAATGTTACGGAGCACCCTTAAAAACCATTGAATCATCCCAATATGTGCCTGGTTCAATAACAGAAACAACATGTCCCAGCTCCTCTTGTGTTTCGTAACGCAGCCTGTTCTTGCCTTTCTGGACGCTATTTTCAAACGACGAGTTGTCAAATTACAGGCCCAGCCTTCTTTGAAAATCGCGTATAGGAGACAGGTTATATGTGCAGTGGAACGAGCATTACAATTTACTATTATCGGGGAACGATTGTCCCAACATTCGTCTCCTCCAATGTTTAGACTGTTGCTTTGTCTATGCAACAACAACGTATGCTACGAACATGACGATAAGACACGAATGGTTCGTGCGCCAAAGTGCACAGAAAAAAACGAATGCTCGTACATGGTCAGATCTGCATTGGAATTTCTAATGGTATCATGAAGATATCATGGATGTCGTGGTCCGTCATAGCATTGTGAGAGACGACATATCCTTCACATCGGCCTCAATGAATGCCCAGTGTTTGACTGTGCATCTACGCACGCTGGTTGGTGGGCACGGGCGCACGATATCTTTCTGGTGATAGCTGCTGTGTAGCCAATATTACGGCCAGATTTCAAGCGCCTCCCGTAAGTGCATTCCTCGCGTCTCAAGCAGAAAAATACGATTGGCAATATCCCAGCACGGCCTCAGGACTAGTGTCGTTCTGCTAGCATTGGTGGTTGTGGGATAGGCTTGCTTTATGCTCGACGCTTGCCGACTGCAAATGTCATGAGACCGAATTAATCATATTCGTCTGCAAACGGAATTTGGAGTTAACAACACTTACTCCCGCTGAACTATGTCCACGTCTCAGTCGTCTGCAGTGCATATGGTTTCCCTGAAAACCGACATTATGTCCTTCTCAAAGAGCTTGCATACTATGCAGTTGCCACTGATGCATGCACCGGAGTGATGGACTCCGATGTTATGTCTTCTTCTCGGCACATATGCACTGACATAGATATGGTTATGCCGTTCCGGCCATGGCGAATCCCAAACGTAAGAGAGCCAGTTCCCGAACCAATAGTCCAATGGAAAAAGTCCAACGAATACAATTCGAACCACAAAAGACGGACAACGGTGGACGACAAAAAGTTGAGCGGGATAAAAGTGGACAGGCACGATTGTCGACTGACAAATAGTCGCACGACGAAGGGTCGAAAGCAACAAAAGTTGGCAATGATAGTTGGCAACGGGAGATACAGATGAACTGGACAGGAGTGGGCGGGAGCGGGTGGGACCGTACGTGACGGAACCACACCAGGAGGGAGTGGGCGTGAGCGGGTGGGACCGCACGTGACCGAATCACACCAGGAGGGAGTG